ATTCCCTCCCCAAGGCCCATTTGAAAGAAAAAACACTGCCCCCTCTGTGTGTGTGTGTGTGTGTGTGTGTGTGTGTGTGTGTGTATCACAGATAGGCTCTCAGTAGTGGCCTGAAGCTCTCTGAGTAGGCTATGTTCACTAGCCAGTAAGCCTCAAGGACTGACCTATATCGATCTATTTGGATCTGGGATTACCAGTGTGGTCCATCATGACTGATTTTTGCTTTGTTTTTCTTTGCTCTGCTTTGCCTTGGTAAATTGGGTTCTAGAGATTGAATTTAGATCCTCTGGCTTGTGGGACAAGGATTTAACTGACTGATCTGTCTCCACGGCTCACAAATACCCTTTAAACACTCTGACCAAAGACTGGGTAACTAGAGAAACAATTACATTAATTTAAATTAAATAGAAATGGAAAATGTAGAAGACAGCACAAAGAAAATAGGATTGTTAGAGAGTTTTTAGGTGATTAATAATGCAGTGTTTGGAAATGTTCTTGAGTATCTTGGTTATCACAATAAACGTTCGCTGAATCTCACCAAGTTGTGTTTCTTCCTGAGATCAGTGTGCACATCTCTCTAACCTAAGAACAGGTACTTTTAGGAGTCCACAGGAAATGACAGTTAAAAGGGTTAGTGTGACTCTGCATAGACACCTGCTCCTTTGAACCAAGAGCTCTTCATAGTTGACTATGAACAGCCCCCTTCTCCACCCGCTTTTGATATAATTTGAATTTGTTAAATATTGAAAAATAGCTTCTGAGGATTTGTGGTCTGCCCTGAAAACTCCATTCATATTTTGATAGCCAGTTTCTGGTCTTCTGAAATAGTCCACTATCCACCAAACAGCTTTGATACCCTTTCCCCACCCTTGCGTGAAAGTCAAAGTTGAGAAAGCAGACCTTGTTTGCCTTCATCCCTTAAATCACTGACTAGAGTAGAGGGTGTGCATCTTGCCAGGCAAATCCCTATGAATCAGGCACATGCTAGGATGTCTTTCTCTAGTAGATAGAAAAGAGGAAAGCCATGTGATCGGAGCACCAGAACTCAGTCCCAGGATATCTGTCTTGGAAGTAAGAAATTGGGAGGGATACTCACTTCTAGATACAGTCCAGATTCCTTGAAAGGAGTGCTTTTGGACACTACCCAGCATTCACTCTTACTACCCCCAACACACATATTCCTACCTGACATACATACATGCATGCACTCATAAGCACACTCACATACAAACTCACGTGGCCCTCAGACACTGACACTCCTAACACACAACACTCAAACATATACTTGGGTGCAGTCTTATACATTCCACAGACACACATAAATTTAACTCTATTTAACATAGCCATACCCACATACACACTAGCACACACCCCAACCACAACCACTTTCATGTATACATACAGGCACACATTCATACACCCCTTCCTATATAGCACTCACCAGCTCATTCTGTAACCATCCCATCCCCTTCTTTATACCGAGCTACACATATGAATAAGATTTGCCTACATGTCTTCATCTCTATGTAACTCAACAATCAGGGGCTCAGCCGAGAACTGAATTCCCAGTTTGAAGATTCTCAGAGTCAAGAAGTAAGTGTTACCTTTGTCAATATAGCCATCATCTTCCAAGGGCCACAGAGAAGCCCCACATTACCATGATTCTCCCTGTTCCTGGGCAGTTACTGAGATATGCTCCTTCTTCCTTCCCAAGCTCTCGTAGTCACACCACATACTCCTGAAATGCACTCTAGTCTAAGCTTGGTTTTTCTACTGATTTGGACTCCAGTTTGGTCTCTGCTTCTAGTTTCTTCTCATTGACTTCTAAATTTTACTAAGTTTGAAGGCCCCATTTTCACCAGTCACCTAAGATAACCAGTCTAATACACCTTCCCTGGGGTTAGATGGATGAGATACAAAGGGAAAGAAAAATCCCATACTTCCCACTTGGGACTGCATAAATAGAACAAGACAACATCAGCATCTGGACTTTGTGACAAGATACAATGGATAGTGCCTGCATACTGAGACAGTCCAGCTTTGGGACATATAAAAGAATCCATCTACCTAGTGAAATGACACATCTGACAGGATCACAGAGTTGAATGACCCAGCCATCTGATTTGGAGAAAGAACACTGAAAAATTGAACTAGCCTCTGAGACATGCTCTGGCCTGTGCATCCTCTGTGATGGCCTTTGTGATGTCATATAGACTTAGTATTTTCCATTGCACTGACTTCTGTAATATTAGATTAGCATGTGTCTCCCATTGCACTTGGCTCTGTGACATTCCATTGGCCTGTATGCCCCATTGCACTTGGCTCTGTGACATCACATTGGCCTGTGTAGCCCATTGTACTGGCCTCTGTGAATTACATTAGCTTATGTCTTCCATTGTACTGGCTTCTATGGCATGCATTGGCCTGTGTCTCCCACTGAACTGGCCTCTGTGATATCACATTGGCCTGTGTCTCACATTGCCCTGGCCTCTGTGTTGTCACATTGACCCTTTAGTTCACATTGCACTAACTTCTTTGGTTAAAAATGACAATATCCAATGCAAACAATGTGGTTTGACTTCTTAAGTAGGATCCAGGTGGAACAGAGAACACTATGACATCACTGAAGTGTCCACATGAATTGGTGGGTAGAGGAAAGACCCATGGGCCTCATGCCTTAGGACAGAGACTCAAGCCCAGATTCTCCAGGACATGTCACAGATGAGAAGACCATCATCCTTCCTGGTATCTTACATCGAAATATATATTGAAAACCCTGCTGCTTGACTATCCCCTGCTGCCTGTCTTATAGCTAACTCTTGTGTCCATGACACCTACAGACAGTCACAAGCACGGGAGAGTTGATGGAGTCATGAATTCATCTGAGGTCTATTTAGAACAGAAAATATATCCTCCATGGAATAATGAATGCAACAACAGTGACCAGTGACTCCTAGGACACTCACTGAGTCGATGCATTGTCAGAGGGCTGATCATCACATGGAGTAGACTGACAACCCCTAGCTTTTTGACCATGTCATCAGGCATAAGAAGCTAAGACATAATGTGCTTCTGCAGGGTTTTCAAAATAAGACACACAACACTGGCCACAGGAATTGTAGTCAGGCTGCTAACTCTAAATACAAGCTGTGATCCTTGTGTGCTACATACTGATCTGCTAGGCAATAGTAGCATGATTATTATGGGAGCAACCAATCACTTTCTGATTGCATTTGAGGCCTTTTCCATAGAACAGAATTTGTGCCTACTGCTGCAAACATGATCAAAAGCCCATGACTAAGGAAATCATAGTCTCTGTTAGAGAGTCTACTACTGCTGCTTTGCTAAATAGGAATATTCTCAAATTCTTTTCTAAATATTTGTTTATACGCACAGATTAATTCTGTTATCAACCTTGGTCAGAGATGCTTTTATTTGCAGTGAGCAGTAGTTAATGCAAGTGATGAGTAGTTGTGCAAGTGATGAGACTAAGCAACTGTTGAATAGTCAGTTCCAATTTAGGCATCTGCATCACTCCATCCCAAGGCTCAAGGAACATTCTGGAAGAGAGGACAGAAAGAAGGTTAAGAGCCAGAGTAAAGAGAGTAGTGTTAGCAAGTGGTGTCTTCTGGACATGACACTGTACTTTGAATTCATAGAAGCTCTTGTTACCTGCACAAGATTGAGCCCATAACACTGCATTGTGGAATGGAGAGGGGCTCATGAGTCCCCACTCTCCCTGAGGAGGTATCAGTTAATGGTTGCTGAGGGAGGAAGAGTTGTCTTCCATCAGCGGTGTAGCCTCTGGTAAGTTGTCTTTGCTTGAGTAAATAACCCATGTTCATTCAAGCAACCATGATTAAACTCAGTGCATCACCAAAACCCCCATAAAAGTAGAGGAAGGAGTCATTGAGAAGAATGAAGAGTTCAGTGGGAATGGAAGGGGAATAGAAGGGGTTATGGAATGAATATGATCAAGACACATTATAGACATGCATGAAATTTTCAAAGGGAAAAATTCACAGACAGAAACAAGGCTGGGTGAGGGAAGGTCAGGGAGTTATTTAATATGGACACAGTTCTATTTGGGAAGATGGGAAAGTTCTAGATGTGTGTGGTGGTGATTATAGTACAGCAAGGTATATGTACTTACTGCTACTGAATTGGACTCAAAATCATCAGCAAAACTTTAAGTTGTGTATAACGCATAATTCACAACAAAATTTAAAGAACTTATTCTCTCAGTGGTAAAATAATAAGGAAGGTGTTTTCAAGATGATTCTTACGTGTCTACAAATTGTTCCTTGGTGAAATTTAAAGCCACCCATGTAATCAGTGACAATCTTAATGAGCAACTCGTTTTCCTTTATACAAATCAATTATCTCTAAAACTAAAATTGTAAAATGTATAAAAAATTTCCAAGTAAGTAACAAGGTCTAAATGGCTCAAAATAATAACTGTGATCATGAGGGTGTGGGAACAGCAAGAACGAGCTTGAGGAACAGAGGTTCCGTGTGACCTTAGGTGGGGCACTTGGCTGCTCTGTCCCTGGGGACATCACCTTACTTCTAGGGATCAGCTACAAGGTAAGGCCTATGCTCTGACCAGCAAAATGAGTTGGGCTAGATGTTGGTGTCCTTTCCGTGGCTAGCATGTGACCATCAGAGGCAGTCCTGGCTCTGGCAGGCAGCAGGTCTTCCCTTTGTAGCAATGACTCGAGTGTTAAGTTTTTTTTCTTGTTCTGTGGCTCTCACTGAGGACTTCACAATTATCCTGCTGTGCATTGTCCCCCCCTGCCAACACTTTTCTAACATGCCAGCCCCTCGATCCATAAAGGATGATTTTGTTTTTGGAAGAGGAAGGTCAACACTAAATCCATGCTGACTCGGGCTTGTTTCATGGAGACAATAAGTCATTTAGGAATGGCTTCCTTGAAAACAGAAACAGAAAAAAAATGATGTCAGATCCGATGCCAAGGATGCCATGCCTCAGAGCATGCCTGAGCTTTCTTTCCTGTCAGGAGGGGAAAACAGATATGAATGTCTGACATTGAACAAGGGACACAATGGCTTCTCTGTGCTGCCAGCAGCAACCTCTGTGTGGCTCTGTGGTCAGGATGCTCAGCGTTGTGTGGACAGGCAGTGACAGGGTTTGGGGAGGGCCTCAATTTCCAGAGGAACAGCTGAGGAGCAGGAGGAGAGAAGGCTTTGTGTCAGGCACATGAAATGATGCCAGCTCAGGCCACCTCAGAAGATGGGCTCTTCAAAAGCCAGAGGCTGTCAATGGGAAGCCAAAGTCTGGGGTGGTTTGTGAAGGTAGGCCAATGATATGTGATGTGTAGCCTGTCTCTCTCTCTCTCTCTCTCTCTCTCTCTCTCTCTCTCTCTCTGTATACACATGTGCATGTGTGAGTGCGTATATGTGCCAGTGTGTGTGTTTACTCTGCCAACTGCCAGAGCAATGCATCTTCTACTGTAGTGGAAGCCACTCGCTTGGTAGCTGTCATAGACTCTGACTCTAGATGCTGATTAACAGTAGGATGTTTTTCAGAGACTGCCTTGGACCCAATGGAGACAGGGCCAGTGAACAACCTACCAAGAAGGGACTGTTGAGTTGTGAATCCACCACCAGTCACAGGGAGCCATGAGCAGCATGGCCTCTAGCCTGCCGTGTACCTGGAAGAGACACTGGACTAGGCTTTCCTGCTCCTATATCTATTACTCGCTGGATGGAGTATGGCCTCATGAAGGAAGTGTGGGCTTGATCAAGGGGATTGTCTTCAGGCAAGACAGCTTCGCAGAGCGATGGCCAAGAGAGATCTCTGGCAGCTGTGAGAACAAGCCTTAATTCCTGAAAAGGAGCCTGGGCCTCATGACAGAGAATAACAGCGTGTCTGTGTGTGGGGTGTGAGCAGAGCGGGCATGAGCTTTCGTCTGTTTTCTGTTGCTGCAATTAGATGCCTGAGGTTTAAAAAGAAGTCTGTTTAGTTCATACTTCTGAAGCTAGAAATCAGTTGACTCCATCTGTTGAGCTTCTAATAGCTCCCTCTAACCCCCTTCTGCAATATAACATAGCAAGTGGCACACCCAGTGATGGAGGCACGTATAAGATGGAGGGACCATGAGACGAAGCAGGAAGCCAGGGACTGAGAAGGGGACTGTCTGGCAGCATTCCACTCTTGTCGGGACTCACCAACGCTCCGTGGAACTAAAGGAATTCCTTCCGAGGGTGTTGTGCCAGGGATCAGGCAGTCTTCCATTAGGCCTAGTTCTCAGCTCTTAGTGCTGTCACCCTGGAGACCGGGTCCCAGCATGGTACCCTTTGGGGATACACTGTAGCAGAAGGGTCAGAGAAAGGGAAGAAGGAAGAGGGAGATGTCTATAACATGAGGTGGCACGATGGTAGGACTAACAAGGTCGATGCTTCAACTTTTTTCTTTTGCAATATTATCTTTACCCATTTTTAGTCAATCTGAAGATCACATGTACATAGATAACTTTAATAAATTGCACAGTGTTATACAATTATAAGATGGTGCTGTTGAGACTGATGGCTGGGAGGCCAGCATGGGACTGATCCAGACCCCCTGGATGTGGGTGTCAGTCAGGAGGCCTAGGCAATCTATGGGGTCTTGGGTAGCAGATCAGTATTTATCCCTGGCATACCAATGGACTTATGTGCCCATCCCACAATGAGGGATGTTCTCTCAGCCTGTACTCTTGTGGGGAGGGCCTAGGCCCTGCCCTGAACGAAATGACAAACTCTGGAGATCCCCCATGGAGGGTCTCACCCTCCCTGGGGAATGGAGTGGGGATTGGGTGAGGGGCTGGGAGGGGGAGGACTGGTGGGAGGGTGGGGGAGGAGGGAAGGGAGAGGGAACCACGGTTGACATGTGAAGCAAGCTTGTTTCTAACTTAAATTTAAAAATCTTTTTTAAAAAATGACGCTGTTGTATGATTCTCAATCAAGAAGTCCTCCTGGAAAGTGTTGAGCTCTGAAACCTGGAGGCTAATAGTTATCAAACTCAAACAAACAGCTGAGCAAGATCAAGCAGACCCCCCAGGCCATCTCTAGAACATCTGGAGCTGCAGGTCTGGATTGGAAGTGGAGAGCCTGCAATTCCATCAAATTCCCAGGAAGCATGGATGCTGCAAGTCCATGCACCGTACTTCTCAAGGCACAAAGTACCACCACTTACTCCCATGACCACTGATGTAGAAAACTTCGTGTTTTGACTAGGTAGACCACTGGGTGCTTAGATATTTGGGTCATCTTATTCTTGGTGTGTCTGTGAGGATATTTGGAATGGAATTGATTAGATAAGCTGGGTAAAGCAGATGGCTTCCCTCAGCTTAAGTGGCTGTGTAAAGAAGATGGCTGCCCCCAACCTAAGTGGGTGTCTTTTCCTTTGTGAGAGAACTGCATGAGTCAAAAGCTGAGTCATAGAAAGCCAGCTGTCTCAATGACTGTCTTCCCCTGCTTTTGGGCTCAGACCAGGACTGCAACTAGACCACTGGTTCTTCTGGGTATCTGATTTGCAATTTGTGAATCTTGGGACTTCTCAGTGTTCACAACTGGGTAATCTAGTCCCTTTTTATTAATCAAATAATCAGTTCATTGGTCAATTGAGACAGGGTCTTACTATGTAGCTCAGGATGTCCTTTATCACACATCCTCCTGCCTCAGCCTGGGATTTTAAGTTTAATATCATATATCTATTAGTACATGTATACGTACAACAGTATATATATATATACACATATATATGACATATAGTCATACAGAATAGTATAACAATTAGTATCTACTTACATGTAATATATCCCCTACATGTTATATATTCTTAGTATATATTATTAATAGTATGTATTAGTTATATGTATACTATATATAATAGTATGTATATACATAGAACATATTAATGTTATTTGTAATGTACATGTATCTACCTGTTCAGCCATTTCTCTTGACACCCCTGACTAATTAATACAGCCACACATCTCAGACTATTGATACATTTAAACCAGAAGGCATTGGAAGTGGATTAGCGTTAGTGTTAAGCATAAGAAAGTGTGATGAACCCAGCAGGCAGACAGCTGTCCCTAAGATGGACAGATATTGTTTCTGAAGGACTCTGAGTGCCAGGATTACTCTGGGCTTGAGAGAAATCCAGGGCTGTCAGACAGAATGGCTAGGCACTCGCAGTCCTGGACAATGAGTTCTGTGTTATCTAGGAAGATGTGACCCGAGATAAGAGAAGTGCTCATTCCGGGCCTGCAGAGTGATACGTGCAAAGTCCAGGTGTGGCCTCCATTGCCGGCTCTTCAGATGTCAGATCATGGCTCTCGCAGCATTTCTCCTGGAAGGCTACCTGCTCTCCTGAACTCTCCTTCCCTTTCTCCCTTGTGACTCCTTCCAACTAGCTGTGTCTACCTCCAAACCCCTCTGAGGTGTGCTGGTCAGATAGCAGCACTGTTCTTGGACAAAACCTGAGCTACTTGCCCATGGACCAGCAATAGCCTATGGTCCTCAACCCCAGAAATACCTGTCCATTCTGTATTTCAAGCTTGATCCCAATGGAGGATGACATGAGTTTTATTGGCCCAAATTCCAAGTAAGTCAGGCCTCTTGTGCTCAGCTGTTTAACAGCTCCCAGGATCAGTATAGATCCAGAACAATGGGTGTCACGTAAGTTCAGGGACAACATCTTCCTGAATCCACACATGCTCCTGGAAACTTCTCATCATCACTTGCTCTCAGCCAAAAGACTGAGAAGTGTTGAAAACTTCTAATCTTGGTGATGCTTGAGGCAACTTAGAGATAATGAGCCTCTGTCTGTTTGGAAGAAGACACCATCTGGAGTTGAGATACCCCTCTGTTGAGTCCCTTTTGGATACAGTAGGGCTTTTAGTCTGTCGACAAAAAGGAATTTAACAAAATGTATCTTCTAATGCTAGTGAACTACGTTCAGGGGGCAGTTCTGTTCAGGTCAATGTGCGAGTTAACTAGTGTTCATGACTCTGTTCTTAGCCAAGGTAGAGGCACATCACCTGTCTGTATGACAGAGCAGTACAGTGGGAATTGAGGTGACAGTAATTGTACTCATTGCCGTCTGGATAAAGTTAGGTGAGATGTATGGAAGGACCACATGGATCCAAAGAGGACAAGCCACGGATGGCAGTGGGTTGGGTTTCTATAGTGGTGACAGGGAGCAGAGCAACTATCCCATCCTTGTTTCTGTCACCACTGTCACCAAACCTACATGGTACTGATCTGAATGAGACGTTAGCTTAGCTGTGCTTAGCTGCTGTGTCTGGGAAGTTGTGCTTTAGAATTTAGCTTTCAGGGAATTAGATGTGGTGACATGATCAGATTTGGAATGAGGCCGGGAATGGAGGCAGAGGAGACTTTCCTGGGAAAGAGACCCTCTTTGTGTCCTCTTCTTGTGGGGGAAGCACCAGGAAGATGCATAGATCTTCATGAAGGTACTTCCAGGGAGGAACAAGATTCCCAGAGCAGCCTGATATCACAGTACTTGTGGGGAGGGTGCCACCCAGCCTTGAGTTGCCCCTGGCCCCACTCTCTCTGGTGTGTGTGTGTGTGTGTGTGTGTGTGTGTGTGTGTGTGTGTGTGTGTGCGCGCGCGCGCGCGCACCTTCAGACAGTATCTTACCCCAGACTGGTCTTGAACGCAGATCTTCCTTCCCTAGTTTCATGAGAGCTGAGATTCCAAGTGTGTTTTACCACACCAGGCTTCTATAATTGGCTTTCCGAACAGAATCAAGACTTAGAATGAAATGCTTGGGAATATAATTAAAAATATTTCTAAGACTGTTTAGATTCTTGAATTGCTTTCCCAAAGGAAAGGCCAGGCAGCTTTCTGCCTCTGACTGACTGACTGTGTATTTGGAACCCAAGGTCTCATGCGTGCTTGGTTGGCACTTCAGCACTGAGCTATGTCTCTAGTCATGCTGTCTTTCTGTGCAACTTGTCTCTACCTAGGCAGCTAAGATTCTTGGATCCAATAAGAAATAGCCGTTTTCCTAACAGACTCCTAACCCACAGATATTTATAAAGCAGATTTTTATTCACCCGCTGGGCTTGTGTAAGCTTCAGTTTTAGGAGTTTTCTGTTAAGAACCTCGTCATTTGAGACAGCGATAGTAGATGTGACACCTACTGACACAGATTTTTTTTAGCTGTTGGTTATTATTATTCTTGTTTCCTACACTACTGGTCACGGCTACCTATACATGTGTCTGATCTAGCCAGCACACACCACAAACTCAAGAATAAAGGGTATGGATGCAGCCTGGGATGTCTTTGTACGGCTTTTCTGATTGGTACAGCAGTAGGGCACTAAAATGCTTTCACGTATGCCCAGTGCAGCGATCCAATCAGTTGGCATATCCACCACCTTAACCTTTGCTTTTGCTTTTCTTTTGTAGTGAGGCCATTCAGGAACCGGTCTCCTTGCTGCTCTGAGATGTGTAGTCCCTTACTGTGCACTACAGAAAGTCTCATTGGTACATCAGGGCAAACAGAATGGGATCAATGAAAGCAAATCCCTTTGGCCAAAGGAAGGCCTTTATAGAGCTACCCTGGGAGAGCCTGCCCTTGGTGGATGGCCATACTGCATTTTGATAATCCCTATGTCTCACTACTATGGATGCAAATCCAAAAAGACATGGGGTCCCCAAACTTCCTGAGCAGAACTTGCTTTTCCAATTCCCTTGGAGATGTCACAGTGCATCCCAAGTGATCTAGGCTCAGTATCACTGGGAGGATGTACATTAAGTTTGATCTTCCTGTTTTTGGGTGTTTAGTGAGCACCAAAGCTCAAGGCCACTTACACATACAGCTTTATTTCTGTGTTGACACACAGCCTGGAGCATCTTTTCACTTTTCAGGCAAAAGAGAAGACTCTCTGGCTCTGGTGCACTCGGGGTCCTGGTTATCAAGGTAATGAGCCTGAATGAATTGGTGGTTGATAACTCATCCACTGCTCTGGGAGCTGTATTAACTCAGCAAGGCTGTCAAAGACCAGTGAGTAGATGCCTCTTCCAGTGCTCGGAATGGCTCACTGTGCCCTGGGAGCATGGTTTCTGCTCCAGAGAGCAATTGCCTCTAATCATCCAAAAAATCAGACCAGTGTCTTTATAATTCTTGACTGCTTCGGGACAAAGGTGCTGCAGCATTAGTAGCAGCTACTGCAATGGCACTTAAACATTGATGATTGTTCTAAATCGCCTGTTAAAGAGAACAGCCAATGCCCCAAAATCATTTTAAATAAAGGCAGATTGCCAACTCCCTAGTCTCCTTTGTCATTCTTGGCTTTTTCGTAGCTCTCTCCTTTCAAGGGAACTCCAGTTTGCTGCACTGGTGCTTCCTGCCCAGCCTCTTTTCTGGGTAAGCCCCTGCTGCATTTCTCTACTGACTTCTCTTCTAAAGGTAGGCAAGCAGGGCCAGCAGGGAAGAAGCTAGAAGACACGAGAAAGTGGAAGGGAGAACTGGGATGTAAAATGAAGG